GGGGTCCGACTGCCCTGCGCAGCTTCCCGGGGCCAAACCCGGCCCGACCCGACCTCTGCTCTCCCCGCAGCCGCTGTCCTGGGCTCCTGCCTGCAGCCGGCGCCGGCCCAGAGCCACATCGCCGTCACCCCTGACCGGCCGCCAGCCCCGCAGGTCGGCGGCGCCGTGACCTTGGCCCTGCAGCCACCGCAGACCGTTTCGGTCTGCACCTGGTACCGCGCGGCTGACGCCGTATCAACCGCCGAGATCTTGACCTACTCCCAGGACATGGGCCAGAGAAACGGCTCCAACTACACGGGGCGCGAGACGGGGCGGCCCGACTGCTCCCTGCACATCACGGGGTTAATGCTGAACGACTCCGGCCCCTATTCTCTGTGGATGCCCACGACAGGCTCCCTTGTCACGGTGACCTTGGCAGTGTATGGTGAGTGTCCCCCTGACCAGGGGACAGGGCTCTGGGCTCGGGAGGGGTCAGTCCTGGCGTCAGCCTGGCTGGGGGGACCGGGAGGGATGGGCGCTGGCACCTGCCGTCCAGGTCACAGGTGACCTGAGTGGGCTGGGGCTCAGCCCAGACACGTCCCAGGCACCTTGGAGGGGGAAGTGCCCTGGTGTTGCCTCTGTGCCCAGAGCCGCTGCCCCTGGCATGTGGCCACCCTAGCACCGGCCTCATGTCAGTGGTGAGTCCAGGCCAAGCCGGGTTGCGCGGCCCCATTGCGCGTGTAGAGCCAGGGGCAGGGTGGTGGCACGGGGGTGCCTCCTGGCACGTCGAGCGTGGGGCGCCGGTTCTCGGGGGTACGTGGGGTGGGTGCCCATCTGCCCCCATCCCCAGGTGCTTTGCATGTCGTCTGCCCAAAGCCTCTGCCCCCCCACCCCCCACCAGCCCCACAAGGCTGTCCTCAACAGAGCAACTGGTGACACCCGGTGTCGCCACAGACCCACCACAGACCCACCTGCCCACATGGCACCGGCCTCATCCCCGTGTCCCGGGGCCGAGCGGGTCCCAGGGCCGGGGGGAATGGGTTCCCTGTGACAGGGGTCAGGGACTGGGGCTCGGCTGTGGGGCTCTCCCAGGCCCGGGGCTGCCTCTCTCTTCCTGCTCCCTGTGCCAAGGGGTTTCTCAGCCTCTCCCAGACACACCGGGTGTAGGGGACGGGGCTGTGCCAATGGGCACCAACCCACAGGGCCTTGTCCCTGCAATAGGGCTCAACCCGAGTCTGCTGCGCTGGAGGCAGGAAAGGATTTCCCCCCAGTTCAGACTGGTCCATACTGGGGGGGTTTTGCCTTCCCTGCAGAGGGGATGGGGAAGACCCTGGGTCTGCACCAGCCCCCGGCAGGGCCGCGGTGGGGAAGGAGGGGTGAGACCCAGACGACAGCCAGCCAGGAACTGCCCGTTCGGCCGTGCTGCAGTTTCCTCTCCAGAAAGCGGAAGCTGGGGACAGGGAGCGGGCCAAGCCCTGCCGGCTCCTCTGCTGATTTTCTGAGCCCGTTTCCTGGAGCGTGTCCTAGGCCTCACACCCAATGCCTACCCAGGCACAGCCGGGCCCTGCCCACTGCTGATGCCCTGCAATGCCAGTATGATGCCTGCTCAGAGCAACCCGGGCTCTGACCTCCTCCATGGGGGTCACAAAGGTCCCCCCCAAATTGCACGTGGGCTAATTGCCCTGAAACACCCAGGCTCCCACAATGCATTGGGGTGGGCCCCGGTTTGGAGCATGGGGAGCAGGGACTGTGGTAACGTGGCCTTTGCCCCGCGGGCACAGGGATGCTGCCCCAACCCCATGGTGGTGGAGAACAGGACCCTCGAGCTCACATGCGAGGCTCCCCCCAGCACTGAGACGCTGCTGTGGGACCACGATGGCTCTGTGCTGGTGCCCGGCGGCCGCGTGGGGCTGTCCCCAGGGAACCGGACTCTGACGGTGCAGGGGGTCTGCCGGGACGATGCTGGTAATTACACGTGTGAGGTCAGAAACCCTGTCAGCCACCTGTGGACGCAAGACCCCCTCTCAGCCCCACCCGCAGCCGCCCTGTCACTGTTACGGTCGCCTGTGAGTATCACAGGGCTCCCTGTGATAGAGGCCAGCCTGATACAGGGAAGGGCAGTTTGATTCCTGCCCTTGCTAACATTGTTACAATGTATAATTTACATATGAAACTAAACACATTCAGTTGAAAAAAGGTGAGGAGTATAAAATATAAGCTACAAATGCCATGGCACACAAACAGATAAAAATACCAAAAAACAAGGGGAGATACAAAATGCACACATACAAATTTTAAAACACAATTCCTTATCTTAAAGTGAAAGGGCGAGGAAGGAAGAAAAGGTAGAAAAAGAGAAACGTATCCAAAGAGAGTGAGAGCAAATGCAGGCAAGAGGAAAAGCGGGGTTTCTGCTACATTATTCCCCACCTTGACATCGGCCTTACACAAGTGATGTCACTATATTGTTTGAACACCATTGTTCAGCTATATAGACAGGAGGTGTGTCATCTTCAGCTGGTTTGAAGTTAAAACAAAACTTAGAAAAGCCTTGGGGGGCGGAGAGAGAAAATAACATAACGAGGTTGATTTGCACAGTTACAATGGTATAGTTGTTTCTTTGCTTATTAAAATATGACTTTGAATGCAGTTGTTTGTTTGTTTGTTTTACACACACCTTGTTATACTGATATTCTAAATAGCATTTAAATCCTTAAGAGAAGTACAGAGAAAAAACAAAACCAAACCCAAAAAACAAAGTACACATGACCTTTAATAAATATCCTTTTGCTAACCAAGTGGAATATAAAACCTTTTGAGAATTGCTGCTCTTGTTTCAAATATCAGAACAACTTTCCAGTCCAACTGGACAGAAGTGTTCTGGTCTGGGATCCACAGACAGGTTCAATTTTTAGAGGGGGTATTACCAATTACCCTTATTAATCTTTATGATATCACATGTAGTTAAACTGTGACAACTTAAAACAAACCAAACAAACAAACACAAACCATATAACAAGACAACACAAACAGACAGGACAATTTTTGCCATGGCTGTGATGAGGAAGATGCTGCTGATGGTAGCAAGGCCTCATGGTTTGTCGGTCACCTTTGACTACACTGTGGTTTCTGCAAAAGAAAACAAACACACACAAGCCTGCCAAGGAAAACTCCTTGCATGGCTGATTATTCATATTTACAAAGTACAACGGTGCCACGGGCACTGGCAGCGCACACGGCATTTTCCACTCTCGGGGTGCTTTCCTTTTATACTGAAAAAGCGGAGCAGTTACCTACAGGAGGGTGGCCATCCTAAGTTGAGGATTTTTCTTTTTGGCCTTTTCCTGCCTCAACATCGGGGTGGGCACTGATCAGCCCGTCCAATGCGTATTTTCCAACGGCTCAGAGCCGTTCCTTCCTGCTAGCCAAGAAGGGTGGCTGCCCCCTGGACCTGCAGCTCTGGGGTGAGTCGTGCCCAGGTCCCGGGACCCTCCGGTCACTTCTGCTGGGGCCAGGGGTCCCCTGGACCCCCCTGTCGGCCCCAAGGCCTCTCGCGCTCAGGGGAACCTCTTGACAGCATCCCCCAGCGCCATCGATGCTCCATCCACGTTCCCTGCCCTGACACCCACGAGGAGACTCGGATTGGGGGAAGGGCACCGTTTCCCCAGCGTCGTCCTGTCCAACCTGTCTGCCTTCCCCACACCCGTCGGCATGCCCAGGCTCAATCGTGTACCCCTGCACCTGGGACCACGATGGTGCTGGGGGCGGGCAGGGCCTGCAGGTGTGGCTGGGGAAGTCCTCACAGCACCCAGGGGGCCCCGATCCTGGATACAGGCCGGGCCGCAGGATCCCACCTTCCCCAGTACCTGTCGGGGCACGTGGGCAGGGGCAGATGGGAGCCCACCGTCGGCATGCCCAGGCTCAATCGTGTACCCCTGCACCTGGGACCACGATGGTGCTGGGGGCGGGCAGGGCCTGCAGGTGTGGCTGGGGAAGTCCTCACAGCACCCAGGGGGCCCCGATCCTGGATACAGGCCGGGCCGCAGGATCCCACCTTCCCCAGTACCTGTCGGGGCACGTGGGCAGGGGCAGATGGGAGCCCAGTAACGCCACCTCTGTCCCTCACAGAGATGCTGTCGCAGCCCAAGGTGATATCCTCCAACTTCACGGTGGTGGAGAACAGGACCCTGAAGCTCACGTGCGAAGCCCCCCCCAGCACCGAGACGTTGCTGTGGGACCGCGACGGCTCTGTCCTTGTGCCCGGCGGCCGTGTGGAGCTGTCCCCAGGGAACCGGACCCTGATGGTGCCGGGGGTCGGCCGGGACGACGCTGGTAATTACACTTGCGAGGTCAGGAACCCCATCAACTCAGTGCGGAGCGAGGGGGTCATTGTGACCGTGATCTGTGAGTATCGGCTGCCTCCGGCCCTTGGGCTCAGACACAGCGCGGCTGGCTCTGGGGTGGGTGTCGGGGCTGGTATCACACCCTGAGATGCGGCTGGCTCTGGGGTGGGTGTTGGGGCTGGTATTACACCCTGGGATGTGGCTGGCTCTGGGGTGGGTGTTGAGGCTGGTATTACACCCTGGGATGTGGCTGGCTCTGGGGTGGGTGTTGAGGCTGGTATTACACCCTGGGATGTGGCTGGCTCTGGGGTGGGTGTTGAGGCTGGTATTACACCCTGGGATGTGGCTGGCTCTGGGGTGGGTGTTGAGGCTGGTATTACACCCTGGGATGTGGCTGGCTCTGGGGTGGGTGTTGAGGCTGGTATTACACCCTGGGATGTGGCTGGCTCTGGGGTGGGTGTTGAGGCTGGTATTACACCCTGGGATGTGGCTGGCTCTGGGGTGGGTGTTGAGGCTGGTATTACACCCCACTTTCCCCACAGATGGTCCGGTCACTGCCCACATCGCCCCGCCGGGGCCCCTGCACCCGCTACTTGGTGACAACGTGACCCTGACGTGTGCGGCCGACTCGTTCCCGGCCCCGCGGTTCCACTGGTCCCACAATGGGTCTGATCTGGTCCCAGCCCTGACCAGTGCCGTCCTGAGCCTGGTGCTGAGGGGCGTGGAGCAGACAGGTGTGTTCGAGTGCCTCGCCACCAACCCCCACACGGGCCGCAGCGCCACCACCTCCGTCTCCGTCACCCTGGGGCCGGGGCAGCAGGCAGGTGAGTCTGGGGCCACCCCCCGCCCATGCTGCCTGGGGTCAGGCTGCTGCCTGCCATGGTCCTGGCACTGAGCATGGGAGAGGGCTATGACTCTGTGCTCTGGACACCTGGCCAGGACCCCCAAGGCCAGGACCCCGTGTCTGCAAGCCCCTGGGCTCTCTCCCATTGGGCGGGGCAGGGCGGTTGGGCACGTGCTGCCGTCTCCATCGCCCTGGGGCAGGGTGAGGTGGGTTTGTGCCCCCGGGCAGCACTGGGGGGACCGGGCTGGGGGGAAGGAGAGGATCTCTGCCCCACTCTGATCTCTCCCCACGATGCAGATCCCAGTCTCTCAGCCGGAGCTGTGGCTGGGATCACGCTGGCAGCCGCAGCGCTGGGGGGGGCCCTGGCCTATGTCTTATGTGAGTAGCTGCCCTGACGCCTGGGCGCCCTCCCCGGCTGTGTGAGGGGAATGGGGGCTGTCAGGGGGGTCCAGGACACCTGGGTCTCTGGTCTCAGCCTCTCTCCTCTCCCCTAGTCCAACACTGTCGGAGGAAGAAGACACCACAAGGCAGCAAGGACCCCCCCCCGGTGTATGAGAATGTGAACCCCCCGGCCTGCGTGGGGGCAGCGGTGAGTAACAGGGGCTTGATCCCCCTCACCTCGGTGCCCCTCACTCCCAACCTGCAGCCCCTGCCTTTCCCTCTCCATGCTATGGTCCCTTGGGGTCTCTGGTGCTAACGACTCTCTTGCCTCCATCTCTGCCCAGGCCCAGCCCGGGAGCTCCCCCGACCCCACCTACCAGGTAAGGGGTCATCGCTCCCCACCAGGATGCTGAGCACCACACAGCTCATCACAGCCCAGTGCCGGGAGGGGCTGGGAGCGTCCCCCCACTCCCCCCATCTCCTCCCCGTGTCTCTGACCTGCCCCTGTCTCCTCGCAGACGCTGCAGCCCGGCACCAGGGACCTGTACCAGGAGCTGAGGACCTGAGCAATGCCCCCCCAGCCCAGTGCATGCTGGGACCTCAGTGTACTTGACCCCTGCACTGTGAACAAATACAGAAAACCCTTGCTATTTGCAGGTTCGGCATTCACCGTTTCAAATATTCGTGAATGCTGAACCCGCATTGTAAAATACACTTTATACACTTACAGGAGCTCCTCGGGAGCTCTGCAGTTGCTGCCGCCACGCTCCCACTGCCACCGCCAGAGCCCTGCCCCCCCAGAGCCGCTGGGGCACTGCGTTCTTCAACGCAGTCTTTATTCGCGGATTGCACCTTTCACGGGGATACAAGAACGTATCCCCCGCGAATGGCAAGGGTCGCCTGTAAAGCCCGGCTGGTTTCCTGCCTCCCCAGGCCAAATCCTCTGTTTGGGCCTTCCTGGGTGAGAGCTCAAAGCCTCCCTCCCGTGACTTTGTCCACCACGGAAATGGGGCGTCAAGATTCAGACGACATCTCTGCCCTCTTCATTGTCACCTATGGGGGGTTGAGGGCGTGAATGCCGCATGCCCCCAGAGACTGGGGGTGCCTGGCAATCTCCCACAGGCGGTGGCAGCGCTGTTGGTGGCAGGAGCGCGGTGGTGGTAAGCGGGGAGCTCCCGCAGGCAGCCACGGCGCTGTCAGCAGCAGGGTGGGGAGTGGCAAGCACCGATCAGCGGTCGGCGACGACCTGCAGACACTGCCAGCAGCATCAGTGGTGGCCAGCAGTGACCATGGACCGCCAGCAGACACTGCCGGCAGCAAGGGGTGGTGGTGGCAAGCAGCAAGTGCCCGCAGGTGCCATCGGCAGTGTCAGCAGCACCTTTTTGCAGGGCATGCACTGCCACACTAAGGGGGTCTTCGTGGACCCGTGTGCACCCCCTACACATCGCCAGTGGCTGAGGGCATGGGACCCAGGCCTCCGGGCTCCCAGCACCCCGTGCTCTCGCCCTACCACAAACCCCACTCCACTCCCAGAGCTGGAGGCAGCCCAGGTGTCCAGGTTCGTCACCATGAGCCCTTCCATATGCCTCCTCTCCTGGACCAGGGAGAGAACAGGCGTCCTAGCTGCCCAACCGGGAATGAACGCAGGAGTCGGGGATCCCAGTGCCCCTGCTCAGCACCCCCACCCCAAGCACACACACTCCCCACTCTTGTCACAGCCGGAGGGAACCCAGGCATCCAAGCTCCCTGCCCTAAACCACTCAACCCCCCACTCCTGTCCCGGACCTGGGAGGGAACCCAGGTGTCTGGGCTCCCAACACCCCTGCTCTCATGCCCCCAGACCCCACTCTCCTCCCAGAGCTGATGACAATCCAGGCGTCCAGGTTCGTGGGCAGGGGGGC